GTGGACGCAGGTTTCCTTTCCTGGTGACCATCTCCAGCAGGAAAGGTGGCTGCAGGTGGGCGCTCAGCCTGGTCGGGAGCTGCAGGCCGCAGAGCCAGGGCCATCTCCGGGGCCTCCCATCTCACAGTCAGCTCTCAAAATGAAGGTCCAGCGATGTGCTGCCCTGGGCTGCTCCAGGGGGCAACAGGAGCCCGAGGGATCAGGTCCCAGCAGCTCTGGGGGTCACAGGAAGGGTGAAGGGCGGGGGAGGCAGAGTGAAGGGGCTGAAGGCCGGAGCGGTCGGGAGGAGCCAGCGTCCTCCAGGGGCATTACCCAAGCCTGCTCGGCCAGCCTCCTCACCGTGAGGACGACAGGCGACAGGCAGCAGGCGTCCCAGCCTTGGTGGCAACCCCTGCGATGCTGCAGCTGAGGGCCACACAGATGTGCTACCTGAGAGCTCTGGAGGGTAGCACCAGGCCAAAATCCCCTGTCCTTGGGCTGTCCCTTCTCCAGGGAGACCATCCCTGCCCCCTCTGGCTTCTGGGGCCACCGTCAGGGTCAGGCAGTTGCTGTTCACCACGCTGCATGTCCCTGGCCCACCCCTGCCTCCCTCCTCCCTGGGTATCAGTCTGGCCATGGCGCTGGGCTTCCGGATGTCCAGGACACCCCACGCCCCACAGTCGGTGACGGGCCACGTGAGGAAACACTGTGCAGGTTCTGGGTGTCTGAATGTGGACATCTTTGGGGACCACCAACCTGCTGATGGCACCCAGGGCTCTGGACGCCTTCCCCCACCATCATGTGGGACAGCCGAGCCCCTTGTCACATCCCCAACTCAAGTCGACACCCAGCCCCAGTGGGACGCAGTTGGAGGCGCACCTTAAGGAGGCGAGTAAGGCTAAGGGGTCATGGGACTGGCCCTGACCCAGCACAGGTGTCTTCCAAGAGGAGGAAGAGACCCAGATCCCCTCCCTCACGTCCAGTTCCTGTGACTTCCAGACCAGCTGGCTCTGAGTCACAGTGATGCCCCAGTGACCCCTAGGGAAGGACCTGGGATTGCGTACCATCCTGAGTAGCTGGGTCCAGCCACCTGGCCAGTGGCTTCAGTGAGACCCACAAGCACCAGGGAGCCTGCAGAAGCTGTTTGGCTGACCAGAGAGCCATCTTCTGGCCAGCACCTGACCCTGTGCAGCCTGTCCCCACGTGCCCTGGAGTGTGGACTGCCCTGGGGCTGGAGCCTCCCCCACAGCTGAGCATGTGCGTGGGGTGCCAAGGGCTCCAAGTGGGGGAGGGAGAGCTCCTGTCCCTGGGGGGGCCTGTCCAGCTTCCCCTGGCAGAGAGCGGAGCCCTGGTGGGGTCTGGCTGTGCACAGACCGCAGGGCCCCTGGGGCAGGTCCAGTAAGGAGGTGAGCCCTGCCCAGAGACACCGGCCAGGCCCCTCACCAGCCACCTCCAAGTCTGAGTGTGTAAGTGGCCTGCAGGTGGAGCAAGCCACCCTGCCTCGGGGCCCGTGCTCAGCCTCCCCCCATAAGGCTTGGCCGCCAACGTGGCCTCCAGAATCAGAGTCTCTCCCTGGCTGGCCTGTGGGCACCACCAGCCACGCTGTCCCGTCCTGGCTGCTTCTCTGTCCCCTGCCTTGGTGGCCCTTCCCTTGAATGCCCTGTCTGTCCACGGGCAGCTGGCTCTCGGGTGGGCTTGTGGCCCCAGCACTTCTGCGCAGAATGCCAGGGAGGGTGCATCAGCCTGATGACCTCAGCTGGGCCTGAAGCCTCACATGTACAAGTCCAGTGGCCAGCAGCACCCAGCAGTGCCCAGGTGTCCACTCCCTTTCCAGCTAGCATCGTTGCCATGGTTACAGATTCAGACACCGGCACTGGACTCTGAATGTGAGGCAGCCCTGCCTCTGGCCATTGTGGTATGGATGGGCGGTGGCCCTGGCTCTGCTCGGCTTGTGAGCCGGCCACAGGCTGTTCCTCCATCTGGTTCCTTTTTGTTTTGACAACACCCCGAGGCCCAGGTCCCCGAGTGAGAAAGTCCAGGCCCAGTGTCAGACGCGGACTCCGGCCCAGCGCTGCCCTAAACAAGCTGCCTTCTGAGCCTGTCATTCCTCGGTGCAGGCCCCAGAACCCTGTGTGTGCTCTGAAGATAGGTGGTGGCTGCTGGCGCCAGCACCCTGTGCAAGCCAACCAAGACGCCCCAGAGAGCAGGCTGGTCCACGGGACCCGCGGGGGCTGCGAGTCCCAACAGGGCTGCGAGGGTTTGCTGTCCCCGTGGCCTCCTCTGCCTGCACCTTCCAGAGAAGCTCAGCGTCCTGCCAACGCTAGCCAGCTCTGCCCTGGGCTCCCACCCAGAGGCCTTCCTCCAGGTGCCAGCCTGGCACTCAGGGAGCCTCGGGCCCAGACGATGTCTCCCACCTGTGCTGGGCATGGCAGAGGGGCCCTGAGAGGCTCGGAGAGGCGAGCCGTGCCATGGCCGTCCTCCACGTGCGGCCAGGAGCACAAGCCACCGGCCGCAGGCAGCCCCGGAAGTCAGACAGGCAGGAAGCCGATTCTGAGGGCAGGGCCGGGGGCCCGACTGGGCAGCGGCCTGAGGGACAGAGGAAGCTCTGCGGAGGCAGCTGCTGGGCGTTCAGGGGAAGGGAGAGGAGCACACGCCATGGAGGGTGTGCTGTGCGGGAGCAGTTAGGGGCCACATGAGTGTGCGTGTGAGCACATGTGCACATGCGTGCAGAGTGCCACGAGTGACCACGCGTGCAGAGTGCCATGTGTGACCACATGTCAGCGTGCTTGTTTGGAGCACATATAGGGGAAGTGCGTGGGGGGGGCACGAGTGAGCATGCGTGTGTGTCTGGTGGCTGAGGATCCTGGGAGCCACGTGCCCTGCTCCTCCCAAACCACGGACCTCGGGGGTCAGTCTGGCTGGCGGCAGTGACACGAAACCCCAAGGTCAGCTGGACATGCATTCCCTGGCGCTGACCCCAAGAGCTGAGATTCAGCTGCAGTGTCCAGGCGGCTGCAGAGCAGCATGGGTCCATGCCGGCTGCGTGGGCAGAGCCCCCAGGCGGAGGCTGCGGTGGCCTGCTGTGCTGCCTAGCAATGCCCCACCAGCTCAGTGGCCCAGGCGAGGCAGACTCTGTGTCTTAGAACCCCGGGGTCAGGGGCCAGGCCCATCTCCCCCAGTCAGCACCGAGGCCTCAGCAGGGCTGGCTCCTGGCGGCTCTGGGGAGAATCCTCGCCTGCCTTCCCAGGGTCCAGGGGCAGGCAGAGCCGGCTGACGGCCCGGGCTCCATCTCCAAGGACAGCCACGGCTGCGCCCATGTCAGGGTAAGGAGAGTCCACGGCTCTCTCGCTGGGGGTCACCCTGCACTGGTGTCTGGTGGCCCCATAGCCCTGTCCTGCTCTGGGTCCCTGCAGCCTGGTGGCCCCATGGCCCTGCCCCAACCCTGCTCTTGACTACTGCCCAAGGGCCTGAGCGGTGGTGATTCAGGAGACACTCGACCCAGACTGGGAGGTGGCCACACAGACAGGCCCCGCAGCCTGTGTGGCAAACATCCGGCAACCTCCCGGGTAGGAGGGTTTACAGCATCTGACGGTCTCCATGGTCAGCATCCAAATACCTGATGAGGTCAACTGGCTCACAAAATTCCTACAAGTTTAACGATGGTTGTCAGGAGCCATATTTAACAATCAGCTGTCATGAGCTGGTCAGAGGTGACACCAGCCTGCTCTGTCCCAGGTCTGCCAGCTCCCGGTGCTGCGGTGGCCGAGAGGCCCGGCACGGGGCTGAGCCCAGACAGCAGGACCCACACCAGCCGCAGTGAGCAGAGAGCCTTCTGAGGGTCCCTAGGAAACCTGCAGCCAGGACCCCACTTTAGACTTAGCTCAGGAGCCATCCCCAGACCCCGCCTGTCGGCACCCTGACCCCTCCCAGGTAGCCCTCAGGTGTCAGGCAGGGCCAGCTGAGGGCAGGACAGAAAGCGGCGAGGGCCAGCTGAGGGGCCTGGGAGGTGGGCTTACCCTGCCAGCCCCTGCCACATGGGCAGAGCCGCCCACTGCATCCACCCAGGTGTGCACCCAGAGCACACCTGTGCCCCTGGTGGGGCCTCCCTGACCTCGCTGGGCAGGAGAAGTCAGTGAGGGTGGGGAGGAAGGGCCGCTCACGCAGTGAGTGGACGTACCCCTGTGGCCTGTCACCTCAAGGGCACCCATGTCCCCCCAAGTCTGCGTCACAGACTCTAGGCCCCACAGGTGAGAGGGTCCCAGGAGGGGAGGGGGCAGGGGAGGCAGAGAGAAGTGTGGGGGCTGTGGGGAGCAGGGGGTCTTCCGTGCGGGACCGCTGGGGTCTTCCTCAGAGAAGCCTTGCTCTCTGGGCCCGTGAGAGCAGGGAACCCGACAGGCCAGGAAGGTGGGACTCTGCAGGGACCCGGCTCTGGGCCCCTACACAGAGGAGGGCCTCGGTCCAGCTGCCCTGAGCCGGGGCGTACAGGAGCTCCGCAGCCCTGCAGCAAGGGGACCAGGCCCTGGACGGTGCCCAGCAGTCGGGCAGGGAGGGAAGGAGCCCCCGCCACGCGCCTCCTGGAGAGCTAGACGCAGGCCTCCGCTGCAGACAGCCGCGCTCACGGCCAGCCCTGACGGCTTCACTCTGCACCCCACAGGTGGCAGCCGCGACGCCCCACCCCTCACCCACCCTCCCTGGTGCTCTCCAGCCCTGGTTCCCGGGACAGAGGCTCCCAGGCCCAGGTCCCTCTGCCAACAGAGCAGATGACAGGTCACACGGCTGGGCACACCGCGGCTGCAAAGCAAGGTGGCTGAGCTGCGTGGACGCGGTGGCGCGAATCCCAGGCCACCTCAGAGGCTCATGCCTCACTGCGGGCCACAGGGTGCCTGCCAAATAAAATCCCCCCAACTTCTAGTTGTTTCTAAACTTTTTCTTGATGAGACATCTACCCTTCAAAGAATAATGAATTCACACTTATTTGCTCAACCCTGAAGTAGCTTGAAATCCAAACGCTCATACAAAAAGGCAATAAAAAGTAAAACTGTAATCAGGTGGAGGAAACATGGACCCTGAACATGAAACAGTGTCAGTAAGAAAACTGAGCAATCACTGAGCTTTAAGACTCCTGGCAGCAAAGTTGATAAGAGAAAGTTCCCATTTCAGGGAAAAAGAAGTGTCCCACTGACGGGCCTCCAACACAAAACTTCCCTCTGCTGTCCCTGGAAAAGACTGTTTAGATATCAGTGACTAGAAAAGCAAGGCACAGTAGTGACCTGAGTTGACAGGCCCCTGCCAACCCGGCACAGGTGGAGAGGCAGGAAGCAGGGTAGGCCGTATTGGTTGGCTGCCCCTTGAGAATCTAGGCTGGGCCTTTCTCAGGTTTCCCTCTGTGTCTGCCCCTCTGGATGGGTGGGAATTCTGGCACAAGAGTTCTCCGACCCTCTGAGAACAAGTTAGTGTGAACTGTGCATCCCACTGACCTGCCTAGAACACCCTGGCCTCCAGGACGGGGCTCGGCTGGAATGTGCCCAGGGCCCTAGTTCAACTGAGGCAACTGGCCGGGCAGTGGAGACCTGGGTGCCCTGGTACCCTCGAGAGCTGAACTGCACCCCCTCCCAGCCAGAACCCGCCCTCCCCTGTGGGCCCACGGGTGCATCCTGCAGCCCACGTGAGAAAGGCTGGCGGAGTGGAAGGAATGTGGAATGTCACCTCGGGCAGCTGGGGCTCGGGTCCCAAGGGAGCAAGCCTGGCCGTGTGGTCACAGGAAGTCATTCACCCCAAACCTCAGTGTCCTTGCCATCAAGTGGTCCACTGCTGACGCAAGGCTCTGCGATGACAGGTACACACAGATGCTGTCTCCAGACGGATGCACTATACGCGAGTGCCATGACACCACCTCACTGGGGACACCAGAAGCACACGTGGTCTCCACCTGCTACAAAAGCCACTGAGGGTGGGCCTGCCTAGGGTGGGCGCTAGGGGGCAGAGCTGACAGGGTCCTTGGAGACGGGGGCACTGGGCAGGGACTTGAGGTACTCGAGGTGCCTCCGGGCGTCCTCCTGGTTGTGACGCACGTAGTACACAATGTACGTGATCACCATGGCAAACCAGCCAAACATGGTGACCAGCATGGCCACGTCGGTGGTCTTGTGGTGGGTGCTGCAGAAGCTGACGCCCGAGTCCAGTACCTGGATCAGAGGCTTCCCCACGAACTCCTCCTGAGCGGAGGTGTGGCAGGCGATCTCATCCACTGAGTCGGGGTCCAGCTTCAGCTCCCACAGGGCCTCCTGCAGAGCACACTCACAGTGCAGTGGGTTGTGAGACAGGCGGATCTTGGCGCTCAGCTTGCCCAGGGCATCCTTCGGAATCCTCCGGATGCCATTGTGGGACAGGTCCAGCAGCCGCAGGCCCCCAGCCAGGCCAGAGAAAGCCGTGGGGCCGATGGTCTCGATGGCATTGTGGGACAGGTCCAGCTCTCTCAGCTGCTGCAAGTGCTGGAAGGCTCCGTTGGGGATTCGCGAGATTTTGTTGGCATCCAGCTTCAGGAGCACGGCCTCAGTTGGGATGTCCCTGGGGATCTCCTGCAGGCCCCTGGCACTGCAGTGGACAGCCACAGCCCCTGCATGGTCAGGGCACTGGCAGGCTTGTGGGCAGGAAGCACTCAAGTGCAGGCAGAAGAGGAGGAAGAGGCAGGACCCATGGGAGGGGGCCAGCAGACACCAGGGGCTCCATCTGCTTCTAGGGCCCATCCTGCCACGGCCTGGGACAAGTAGCTCCTCTGCTTTTGGCCTGAGGACCCCTGCCCTTTCCACTGTGCAAGAATCACCACGTGCACAAACTCTTCTTCCTCACCAGGAAGAGCAGTGGCACCACGAATTCTGAAAAATAACAAGAGAAATGGGTGAGAGAAGGGACAACAATCAGCCCTGTCCACTAGGGTCCAGCTGGGAATGGGCCACACCCTGAGGGAGAGGCTGGCACAGAAAAAGGAGGCATCTGGGGCCCGCCACACCCCCTTAAACACACCTGGTCTATAATTTTCTTCTGAAGTCTTCCAGTACCACCCAGAGGGGCATCTCAGGTCAAGGAGGTGGCTAGTGCTGACCGCTGGCTGACAGCAGACCCCAGGGCCAAGTGGTCAGAGAACCCGGCGGGCATGCAGCCCTGGCCACCCACCCACTGCTGGGGACCTGAGGTGGGGCAGACACCCGCCTTCCCCTGCAGGCTGGTCACCTTGAGTTGGGCGAGCTGGGCGGAGGGCTTCCTTCCGGATCAGCAGCACCAGGTCAGGCCCGGCAGATGGCGGCGGGTGAGCGCGCCTGGCAGAGGGGGCCAGCCGCCTGTCGCCGACACCTGCTGTGACACCTTAAAGTCGGCGGTCACAGAGCTTCTCTCGCCGGCCCTGAAGGGGCGGCTGCCCGCTCCGGCGCAGGGGAGAGGAGGGGGGAGCCGGCCCGGCCGCGCGGCGGGAGTGGCGGGCGGCGGGCGCGGACGCGGACCCGGCGGGACGCAGGACTGGGGCCGTGCGGGGCGGGGGGCTTTACCTGGGGGCCGCGGCCAGCCGCGCTGTCACGCCGCTGCGGCCGCCGGAGCCGACCAGGCGCCACGCCCCGCGCCGCGGCGACCCCACTCGGGTGCCCACGCCCGCCCGCGGCTGGCAGGGGAGGCGGGGCGGGGCGGGGCCTGATGGCAGGGGCGGGGCCGGGGGAGGGCTCGGTGACGGAAGGGCAGGGCGGGGGCGGGGTCTGGCCTTGAGGGGCGGGGCCTGCGAGGCACCGCGTTAGTGGGCGGGCGGAGGGCGGGGCCTGGACTGTGGGCGTGGCTCTGGGCTGTCCTGGGGCGGGGCTTCCGATAAAGCGGGCCAGCAGTTCAGGACCAAGCCTCTGCAGGTGGGGGCGTGGCCTGCCGGTAGGGCGGGGCTTCAGAGGTTAGGCCCCGCCCCTAAACAGGTCCGCTAGGCTGGGCTCTGGTGGGTCTCCTCCTGGCCTGACCCTGCTCCCGCTGGATCCGGGCGAGCCTCCCGCAGTGTCCCTGTCCTGCGTGGAGATCGGAGGCTAGATCTTTGCCCATTTAGGTCCCACAGACCCCAGGGCCCAGCTTCTTTCCCAGGGCTTAGGAGGAGGGCCTGGAGGGTTGAGGCGGGCTCAGGGCCTGGGCCACCGGGGTTTTAAGGCAGCTTCGTTGGGGCGTCGGTGACATACAGCGAACAGCGGACTGAGATGTGATAGGTTTCGGCATCTTCTGCACACCCGTGAACCATCACCACGCCACGCAGACACCCTAAAGTTTCCGTCACCAGGCAAGCACCCATCTGCTTTCCCTGCAGAGGAGCCTGCGTGCGCCACGACTCACCTCAGTGCCATCAGGGGGCCTGCACCTCTGTCTGGCTTTCCTCCCTCGGGGTAGTTGTAATCTGTGCCATTGGGCTTACCGATCCACATTCCTCCCAGGGCGACAGTCCTACCCCGTGTGTCACACCAACGTGCATGTCAACTCCCTTGGCCAGCCCTTGGGGTGTGTCTGCTTTGGGGCTCTTAGAGAAAAGTGCTGTGAGCGTTGAGTAGGCGTCTTCGGACAAATGCTTGTGTTTCTCTTGGGTGAAGCCTAGAAGTGAGTGGCCTGGTCATGTGTACGCTTAACTCTTTAAGACACTGCCAAAGCCACCTGTGGTTTGCAGTCCCACAACATCCTCTGTCCCCATCCTCCCCAACACTTGGTAGAGACGGTCTATTTTCTGCACTCTAACAGGGGAGTGGGAATTATCCAGTTGTGGTTTTGATTTGTGTTCCCCCGTGGCTAGCGATGTGCATGGTTAAATCTGTCTGTTTCTTTTTGTCCATCTTCTTTAGGGAATTGGGCTGCTCAAGTTTTTGACCCGCTTTTCACTGGGCTGTTTGGTTCCTTACTGTTGAGTTACCAGGGTTCTTTACACCTTCTAGGATAAAGGCATTTTCAATATGGTTTCTAAACATTTTTCCTAAGTCTATGCATCATATTTTCATACTTTTAACAGTTTTCCAAAGAGCACACTTTTTAATTTTGAGTAAGCCCAATTTAGCCATGGTTTTTCTTTTGTGGATTATGTTTTCAGTGTCATACATAAGAAACCTTTGCCTAACCCAAAGTCACAGGACTTGTTTAGTTCTAGGGCTTGGCATCTGGTCTGTTACCCATATCCAGTCAACTTGGATACATGGCGAGAGGGTGACTTCAATCTATTTTTGTGTGCATGAGTAATCAGTTTTTTATGACTGTTTTGTGGATCTTGGCTTTTTTTTTCCCCATCAGTTAAGACTTTCCTTTTTCAGCCTGTTGACATGATGGATATATTGATCGATTTTCAAGTGTTGAATCAGCCTGTGATCTTGGGGCAGATCCTACCTGGTCACGACGTACTATCACTTTTGTTTGTGGTTGAATTGTTTAATAAAATGACAGCAGTCCATTTTTCTTGAACAAATGTTTACAGTTCATGTTATTTGAGGAATTGCCTGTTTCCCCTAAGTTGTTGAATTCACCAGCATAGGGTGAAGGAAGTGCCTTTATGATCTTTCTGTGTCTATAAGCAGGGGTGAAGCCACTTCTTCTTCCTGACCTTGGCAGGTGCTTCCTTCCCCTCCCCCTCTGCCCCCTCCTCCTCCCCTCCCTCTCTGCAAGTCAGGGTAGAAAATTATGAATGTTGTTAATTTTTTAAAGAACCAATTTTTTAAGTCATTGATTTCTCTGTTGTTTTACTCTTTCATTGATCTCCAATGAAAGATCTTTTTTTGCTTACATCAGTTTAACTCTCTCTTCTTTCTCTGTTTCGGAAGCTAGGCTCCAAGGCCACCCATTTGCAACACTTTTCTTTTTTCTTTTCTTTTCTTTTACTGAAGGCATCTAGTGCTGTGAGTCTCCCTCTGAGTGCTGCCTTGGCTGCTCCCAGGAATTTGGACATGTTGTATTTTTGTTATCAGTAAGTTCACAACACTCTGTAATCACCATTTGATTCCTTTATCTGCCCCTGAGTTTAGAAGTGTTTACTTCCCACACCTTTGGGGACTTCCCACATCTTTCTGTTACTGATTATTAATTTAAATCCATTGTTGTCAAAGAATATCGTCTGGATGTTTGGGGTCCTTTTGATTTGGTTGAGGCTCATCTTGAGGCCCAGAGGAGGCTGGGCATGCCCTGGGTGCTTGTTCCCAGGCACAGGACAAGGTCGAGGCTGCTGGTCGCCTGCTGTTACCGACTTCTTGTCACTGAGGTGTTGGGATCAGTCCCCTCAGCCTTTGGTACCTTGGAAAGGCTGCTGTCACTCAGCTCTTGATTGTTGACCCCATTGTCATTGTGAAATGCTGCTCTAGGCCCTTTCTTCCCGGTGAAGCTGCTTGGCTTGTGTTGATGCCACCCAGCCTCCTTCCCCGGAGCCGGGAGGGGTAGCTTCCACCCCTGCGCTCTGACCTCATGGGTCTTGAGGCCTAGGTAGTTTCCCTCAGGGTTTCCATGGTGTCAAAGGACCTCCCTCGAAATATTTATAACTCCAAAGGGAAAGTGTCACTTCTCAGTGGGAAAACGCTATATGTATGTGACAAGGATGGGGTCGTCAGTGACCAGGCGGGTTGATGCAGGGACCCTCCATGGAAGGCACTGCCAGGGGTGCAGCCTTGCCCTGTGGCACCCATCCTGTGTCCCTCATTCCAGCCCAAAGCAGGCATCATATGCACCAGTCCGTGGGACAGTGCCCAGAGGCCTGGTCCTTCAAAAGCAAAGTGGCCACTGAAGGCAGGAGACCAAGTGGCCGTTTCAGACTGGGAAGGCTGTGGGGATACCAGCTCAGGGCCATGCAGGTACTGGAACTGACAAAGGACGCTACCGGGAAATGGGCAGGACCGAGTGCAGCCCGCAGTCCGGCTGTTGCCCGGGCAGTGTCCGGGCCCGGGCACCTTGCACTCCGAGGGGTGAGTGCTCACCGGCCTGTCTCCTTACGGTTCTTTCCTGCTTGTCTCACCTGACCTCTGTCCTGTGTCCTTTCCCCCTTTGATTGGACAGGTCTTTGTTGGGTACATAATCTGAATGTCCCCCCCAGGTTCCACTCAGCCTGAGGGTGATACTGGTGGAGGCAGTGGAACCTTCTGGAGCCGGCCTAGTGCAGGTCTGGAGGTCTTTGGAGGCGTGTCTGTGTGGGGACTGAGGGATGCCCTTCGCGCTCCCTGCCACTGGTGCCTCCCGTGAAGCCAGGCCGAGGGCCCCTCACCAAGCCTGCGCCTCCCTGGACTCTGAAGCTCCAACCCTGCGAGCCCAGAGAGCCGTTTCTCTGTGGCATGAGTGGCCTCGGGGACATCGTGCCGTGCGGAAGCTGATACACTGTTCTGCACCCTTCCACCTCCCCCTCTGCCTCCTGTGCATGTGACCTCGGTGGCTGCTGTGCGATTCAGGGCGCAGCAGAGGCCTGCCAGTCCTCCCTCAAGTCTTGCCGGCTCCTTCCTCGCAGGGCCTGCGCAGCAAGCCCTCTGCGCCCAGCCCCTCCGCGCCCCGCAGAGCTGCCAGCAGAAGAGGCCGGGTCCTCCCGTTTCTTTCCTCTCAGCAACGCTCTTCTCCAATACCTAGGGAGGCCCCGGGGACCTCTGGCCTCTCCTGTCTCGGTGTTGCTCAGGTTTTTCTGCTATGCACAGAGAAAACCTTGGGGGTTTCCAAATTTACCTACAAGGAGACAAAAAAGCACCACCCTGTAGAGGAAAGCCGGGCCCTCCCGCGAGGCAGCGCTGCCTGGGCCTCGGGCGCCGACGGCTCTGGGCTCTGCCCCTCGCCTCCCACTGAGAGCATCCCCACTTCCGTATGTCTCCTGTGCCCGGCTATTCGGCCTCCTGACTGCGTCCTCTCCAACACTGTGGCAGCTTCTCCAGAGAGAGCCGCCCACTCTGCTCCCTCAAGGCCAGTTCTGTTTTCTGACTTGGATGCTTCTTTTTGTTAATCTTGGTTCTCTTCAAATACCTTATGGTTCTAGATCGCCAGTGACTCAGTTAGAATTGGTTGGCTGTGTGTTTAACTGATTTTAGGTTAAAATCAGTAGCTTTAACACAGCCATGTTTTCCTTCCCAGAGGTAAGACTCAAGAGGGCCCTGTGACCATCCCTTGATGTCCCTCTTGCCTCCCCCTTCACCACACCAGGCATGTTGCTCATCTTTGTGGCTTCACATGGCTGCTGGGGCTCCAGCCATCTGGTCTGCATTCAGTCAGCTTCTTCCTGCCCTCTCATCCGCCCTCCCCCAGATTCAGCTTGCTGTGAGTTCTGCCCTGGAGGAAACTGACCCTACTCGTGACACTCTCACTTCCCTTGATGCCACACAGTACCCTGGGTGCTACTCACTGCCCACAACAGGCTTGTCCACGTCTGCCTGCCTCCTGTTCACTATCTGCTCTGTCCTTCAAGTCCCAAGCCTCATCCCGGGAGCCTCCTTGATTACTACACTCAAATGCCCTTTCATCTCCCAGCGCTG